GGGCAGGAGAGCCTGGCAGAGAGCGACCCCGAGATGTGGGCCCTGGTCCAGAAGGAGAAAGATCGGCAGTGCCGGGGGCTGGAGCTCATTGCCTCTGAGGTGGGGCACGGAGCGGAGCGCTGGTGGTCCTGGGGCGGCCCCTGCTCAGGTGGGGGCTGAGCATGCCCTGTATGACCCGCTTTTCCCCCAGAATTTCTGCAGCCGGGCGGCGCTGGAAGCCCTGGGCTCCTGCCTCAACAACAAATACTCAGAGGGGTACCCTGGCAAGAGGTAACGGAGGGTGGAGGGATGTAGGGTCTGGGCTTGGCCGGGCAGCTCCTGGGGGACGGACGGCAGCAGGGAGGGGCATCAGCAGCCTTCTGGCAGCCTGCGTCCCACTACATCAAAGACGAAGGGGAGCGGCAGGACACCAGGTGTGTTTCAGAGCAGGGCTGTCCCCTCCGCTGTGGTCACCTGTGGGGCACAGGCAGCTCCCTGGGTGGGAAGCACCCCATTACCTGCTCCCTTCTTCTCCAGGTACTATGGGGGAGCTGAGGTAGTGGACCAGATTGAGCTGCTCTGCGAGCAGCGGGCGCTGGAGGCGTTCGGCCTGGACCCAGCCCACTGGGGAGTGAACGTTCAGCCCTACTCGGGCTCTCCAGCCAACTTTGCTGCCTACACAGCCCTGCTGCAGCCCCATGACCGCCTCATGGGGCTGGACCTGCCCGACGGGGGCCAGTACGTACTGCACATGGGGCGGCCTGGGGGCCTGCCACCTTTTGGGGTGAGCACCTGCTCCAGGGCCCAATGTGATCCTGCATATCCATCCGTTCCTCCACAGCCTCACGCACGGGTACATGTCGGACATCAAGAGGATCTCAGCCACGTCCATTTTCTTTGAGTCAATGCCCTACAAACTTGACGTGAGTTGAGGGGGGGCAGACTTTCCCGGGGAAAGGGGGGATCTCCTAGCCGAACCCCCTGTCTCAGCAGGGGCCTTTTGGGTGCCTCAGTGCAGGCGCTGCCACTCCACCATCTCCTCTGCCTCCTTCCCACCCACTCGGTGCGAACCGTAGCCGTGTGTCGCAGGATGCTTGGGAACCCTGGTGGTTCAGCCCTGCCATGGCCCCAAACGCTCTCTGCTCAGAGCTGGGCAGTTGGGAGGTTTCTGTGCCCCAGCAAGTTGCCAGCTCTGGTCTTGGTCCGTCTGTCCTTCGCAGCCAGCCACAGGGCTGATCGACTACGACCAGCTGGAGAAAACGGCGCGGCTCTTTCGTCCTCGTCTCCTCATCGCCGGCACCAGTGCATATGCCCGCCTCATTGACTACGCTCGCATGAAGAAGGTATGGGGGAGCCCAGCTCTCTTCTCCCCCAGCCCTGTCTGGGGGTGCCGGGGAACTCCTGTGGCTGGTGCGAGGCTGATCGCATCCTGTCCTTGGCTGTGGGGTGGGGCGGGGTGGAGGGATAGGGGGTGTCTATGACTGCCTGATGCCCTGTGTGCCCCAGGTGTGCGAGGAGGTGAAGGCGTACCTGCTGGCAGACATGGCACACATCAGCGGGCTGGTCGCAGCCAAGGTCATTCCTTCGCCCTTCGAATACGCCGACTTGGTCACTAGCACCACCCACAAGACCCTGCGTGGCGCCAGGTGAGGATGCGTTCTGCCTCGCTCTCCAAGCGGGAAGATGCCTGTTCACAGGCAGGGTGGTTGCAGGGGGGTGTAGAAGCAGTGCTTTTATTTCATGGGCTGGCTATGGGGCAGACCCCCAACCCAGTCCTGGGACAGAAGGGATAATGCCCTGGGAGTCCCTGAGGAGGGCTGGTAGCTGTCTAGGTCACTGCCCCTTGGAGGGGCTGAGTCCTCTGCTACTGGCTTCATGGGGGCTGAGCAGACACAAGGGTGGAGCAGTGCCTGTGAACGCTCTCTTCACCAACAGGTCAGGACTGATCTTCTATCGCAAGGGCGTGCGCTCGGTAGACAAGAAGACGGGCAAGGAGATGCACTATGACCTGGAGGACAGGATCAACTTTGCTGTCTTCCCTTCCCTGCAAGGAGGACCACACAACCATGCTATTGCTGCAGTGGCTGTGGCCCTCAAACAGGTGTGTGTAGGGGGGCACTGGGCTCGGGGTTAGGGAGGTGACGTGGGTGCCCCTGTTGACGTAGTCTGTCCTCCCAGGCCAGCTCACCTGCTTTCCACCAGTACTGCCAGCAGGTACTGAAGAACGCCAAAGCCATGGCGCAGGCCCTGCTCCAGTGTGGCTACACGCTGGTATCAGGTAATTCCCCCTTCTGTGGCGCTTTGTGGGACGAGGAGGGACAAGGCTGTGATAGGTCACAAGTGACGCAACTTAGTCCACTAGGCAGCAGCACGTGCGTGCGTGTGTGTGCATGTTGGGTGAGGGGGGTGGTATTGGCAGAGTGGCCTTGTAGGGCTGGAACGGGGGGACTGAAAGCAGGGGGCAGGAGCATGGGGCATTGCAGAACAGGGCCTTGAGGAAGACATGAGGAGGAAGCACTGCCAAATGGGGCTGGGGGCTAGGAGTTGGCAACAAGAAGAGGGTAGGTTGCTGGAGGGGCTCATGGGGCTGGATGTTGCTGACCCACCCCATTTCCTTTTCCTGCTCCCCAGGCGGGACCGACAACCACCTGGTGCTGGTGGACCTGCGGCCCAAGGGCATTGATGGAGCACGGGCTGAGCGAGTCCTTGAGCTTGTCTCCATAACGGCCAACAAGAACACGTGTCCTGGGGACAAAAGCGCCCTCACGCCGGGGGGGCTGCGTCTGGGTGAGGGCCCAGCCCTGCTCTGGGGAGGGTCTTCCTACCTCTATCCAGCCCTTTCCCTGGGGAGGGTTCCCCAGGCTCTCACTCTGGGATATTCCCCCTCCAGTCTCACCTCTATCTCAGAGGGCTCCACGTGGGAATTTGGAGCCAGTTCCTGGCTCGGAGAGGGTGTGTGGGACCCCATGTGGCCTGGGATGTTGGGAGCTCCTTGGTGGGCTTGGATTCTGCTCCGAGTGCAGCTCCCCAGCCCTGATAAGGTCTGTGTCCCCAGGTGCCCCCGCGCTGACATCCCGCCGCTTCCAGGAGAGGGATTTCCAGAAGGTGGTGGGTTTCATCGATGAGGGCATAGCGCTGGCTCTGGACGTCAAGAGCAAAACCAGTGAGTGAGCTGGGGGCACTGATCTCCCTGGCGTGAAGGGGTGAGCTGGCACCTCTCCCTTCAGGGTGCTGGGGCTGCACCCCCAGGCTCGTGCCAGCCTGCCACCCTGTCTGGGGACAGGGGTGGTGTGGGGGTGGACCGGTGACATTTCCCCCTGCCATTCTCACCTGTTCTCACTTGCCCTCACCCCTGCCTGCTGAAGGATCCCGAGACCCAGCGCCGCTTGGCAGACCTGCGCCAGCGCGTGGAGACCTTTGCACGCGCCTTCCCCATGCCTGGCTTCAGAGATCACTGAGTGGGGGCTCTCACCGCCCCCCCACAGGCCTGGACTAGGGGAGGATCAAAAACACCCTGGGGCTTCACCCTCCCCTTCGTCCCCCACCACCACCTTTGTGATCAGGCACTTCTTCCCCCTGGGTTGGAGGAAGCTTGGGGAGGGGGGGGCCCCCCCACCCCAGTCCTGCTCTCAGTGTTCGGGTTCAGGGACCAAGCCCCCACCTGATGGGGGCAGGGACCATTCCTTGCTCCAGCCTTGTCCCCTCTGTCTAATGAAGTCTTGCACTTTTCTAGGTGGAGAGTCTCACTAATAAAACCGGGGCCAGAGCATGCCTGTGGAGGTGTGTGGGGTGCTGAGCTGGGCTTGGAAAGGCTAGTGACAGACAGAGGGAGGTGGGGACAGTGTCCCCGGGCTCTGTCACCACCTCAGGCCTGAAGGCCCTGGTTCCAGCCCCTGCCACCTTGCTGGTGCTGCAGGCTGGAGGCAGAGCCTGGACACCTGCGCTCCGGTGCCCGTGCCAGGGACGTGGGGTGAATCCTTCCTTGCCTCGGTTCCCCTGTCCCCACTCTTCTAACTCAGTGCTTCACCCAGCAGGCTGTGAGGGGAGTGGGGACTTTTGAGGGGGTTAAACTGAGCCCCAAAGGAAGGCAGGTGCCTAGGAGGGATGGTGGGAGGCTTCAGCCCTGCTGCCCCTGTGCTGCAGGGTGCAGAGAGGTTGGTGCGGTCTGTTTTCCGCCTGCGCCCCCACGCCACACTGGCTGGCTGGAGGGGTGCAGGCCAGGCACCCGCCGGGACGCAGACACGTCCCGCCGTCCGGTGCCATCTGCTCTGTGATTACTGGCTGCAGATTTTCCCCTTGGCCTTGGCCAAAGCAAACAGCACCAGGCGGGCTCCCCCTGCCTGCTGCCGAGGCCAGGTCCCTGCCCCAAGGCACGTAGGCCAGGGGACCGGAGCAGGGGCTGCCCCTGCATGCAGCATGTGCACGTGCAGCCCCAGGCACGTGTGGTTTTCTGCCCCCTCCACACCACTGGGCTCTTTTCCTCCCTCCCGGTCTGGTTTCCTGCTGTCTCCCTGGGAGGGGCTGGGTCAGGGCCACAGTGGTCCGTGGGCATCCCCCGGGAGCGTGGAGCGTGGGAGACAGGAAACGCAGCACCCGGGGGTCAGGGGGTGGGAATCGCTGAACTGTCCTGCTGCCAGCAGGATGTGACCCCCCCACCCAGCCCCTGCACAGGGGGAGGGGGATGTGTCCTTGCATGGATGGCAGTGGAGAGGGGAAGCTGAGTCTCTCCGAAGTTTATGGGCCTGGGAAATGGTTTATAGAAAATATTTTCCTGGCCTCGCCCCCCCC